GTTAAGAAATTAAATGTTTTGACTAAATTCTCATTAACTATAATATTAATACACTCACGGTCTATACTCACATTCAAATCTATTGATCATAAACTTTTGAGAAATTTTTAAAAATGTCACTTTTCATGTGCCACTTTACAAAAATGCCACACTTTTAAAATCTTTACAAAAATGCCACTTTTTCAAAATTATTTTTTCTTTATATCATTTATGGTTGGGTTAATTATGTTCTATTAAGGTTTAGTTATGAGGGTTTAGGGGGTTTTAGGGGTCAAAACATTTTTTAAGGTTTAGAATTTTAAGATATATGCTTTATAAATCTATAATTAGTGGCATTTTTGCAAATGGATATTCCTAAGTGGCATTCTTGCAAATGTGCATACAAAAAGTGACATTTTTGTAATTGCCCCTAAACTTTTCAAAATAACAATACTTTTCCACAGTGTGATCAAAACCAAAAAAAAAGCAATACTTTTCCACTCGAAATATCGTTTTATTAATTTTGCTCGCGAAATATATAACGTTATCATCTTTTAACGCAAACTACCGTTATTATCTTTTAATCTAAAATACCGTAATTTAATTCACACGAAATAATTAGTTAAGAACACATAATAATTAAGATATTGAAAAAGAGAGAACCTTGGTTATCAGTTTAGCAATAAAATCAGATTGAATGACCAGAGAATCCCCCATCTTGATAGTGTTTTTCATATCAAAGCTGAGACAAGGCACTTGCTTCCAAACGTTCTTCCATCTCTGAGACAACACACTTGTCTTGATTGCGTCTTCTGTGCACAGATTGGTTAAGATCATGAGCAACACATCGTCATCGAGTTTGGTTATTCCGTCAATTTTTCAACCTGGATCCGTTTGCCTCTTGCTTTTGATGATGGTGATGCATCAGTGAATGGGATCAATGATGAAGTGAAAAGAACTGGTGGGAGAGACATTAGGAGAAGAGATGATTTTGATTTGGACACTAAGCGAGAGAAGGAAAAGGATGTGAGATTTTTCTTAGAGCGAGGGAAGATGATGATAGAGACAACCACATATATACGGACGGTGTTGTTCTTACAAAACTTTCAAACCCTAATTTTATTTCCATTATAACAATCGGAGTAATATAGAAAATTATATGACATTTGACTAAAATGGAAAAGAATTTCACATTTGATTGCATTTCTTTTTCAAATAGAATGTACAGAGTAATTTTTGCTTTCTGTTTTTGAAATAATAATACATGCATGTACCAAATAAACTAAATCTTTAATTGCCAAATATTATTTGTTTCTGAMCAACAAACAAAAACTAATGTGGTTTTATTAGGTGTGTCATACCAGATTAAAGCCACCCTCTCAGGCATGCATTTTTCCAATATCAAAACCAATTTTGTTAATGAGATTTGTTCT